TGTGTGTATACACACACACACACAAAAAAAACTCTTAAAAATTATTTACTGATCCACTTGTGCCAAAATTCATCCATTATTTTTTATAATTTATTTTTATGTATGACAATAAACCTAAAAGTTTGAATAAACAAGGAAATATTTTCAAAACATTGCAACTTAAATGGCTTTATGACTATAACATTATGTAATATCTATTTTGATGTAGTTCAAAGTAGAAAAAAGAAATCAATTTCATATACAAACAATCTATAATCTTAATGATAATTATAATTATAAGAAAAAAGTTGTAAAAATGTTCAGTATTTAATGGATGCATCTATTTGTCCTAGTTATTAGAGAATATTTCAGTAATACAAGTATTATAAGTATTTCTGCATAAGTTAGTATCATTTTGTGACCGATTAAAATTTTAACGCAACACATAGTTTGAGAAACACTGTTTGAAATTTTTAAATTAATATGTGTAAATCAACTGTAACATAGAAAAAATTCTATAGAACAATTCATTATTCTGTGTAAAAAATTAAATAATGAATAAGATACTTTTAAAAGTAACTATTTAATTTTACTATGTTAAGTTACATATTAAAATTAATTAATTGAATGTAACTGCTTATATTTTTATTTCCTGGAATCTGATACAGGAAGCATTACTATATTTAATTTTAGTGATGAACTAAAGATATAATAATGGAAAAAAGTGATTTTTTTTTCTTTTAGAAATTGATGGATCTTCCACAAGTTTTAACTGATTAATTATGATGTTTTTAAAATAAAAATTCTAATGTTTATATCTACGATGCAATATCTATAAATATGATTGCATAAACTATTACTATAACAACATAAACAATTTATATAAATTGACAGAATAAAAAAAAAGATGTTTCTGTAACTTCTGTCACAATTCCACCAATGATGACAACGTTCTCTTGCAACTGACAGATTACAATCCATGAATTAACCATCAAAGAATTAGCACAACTTGAGTGTTCCCATACATTCCAAAAATTGACAAAGTCCAATAGCACTGCAACATGCCAGCATACAGAGCAAAGAAGCATAATGGTGAAACTGCATTTTGCAATGTTAAACTTGAAAAATTTTTCTGTGGAAAACAAAATGAGAAAAATGCCAGAGTCAAAGTCAACACATTTTTCCTGACTCCAACTCCTTTGATCAGAAATTCCTCCCAACTCAGCTCTACAGCCCTGCTTGGCACTAACTGACTATCATGTTTTGCACCTTGCAGAACCACATGCCAATTTATAGTTCAATGACAATATCCATTTGAGAATGATGCTAGAGACTTTCTTCAAAGAAAAACTCCAGTCATTCTATACTCGTGGGATTGAAAGTCTGCAGGAAAGGTGGCAAAATGTGATTAATATTTTAATATTGATAGTGATTACCTAGAAGAGTGAACTGCAATTGTTGTTAAGTTTATTGACAATAAAGATTTTTCAAAATGTCTAAATTTCACCTTTATAAACCTGATACAATGAAAGCATTTATATAGTTGAGCTGCATATTATTTATTTATAGTTGAGCATATTATTTATTTTATCTATTATTTTCTGGTTAAGTGACTAAAAATTTAAGGAAGGGAAAAAAATACTAAATGATGTTTATCAATATAAAAGTTTGCCTTAAGTGATTGTGAAAATTGTTTTACAAGTACTTGAGATAAGTTAAAACTATTATATTAGTATATATTTTTTGATGATTATAATACTACTTGGAATTTCTGAAAGAAAAATTGAATATTCTCTAGGATAGTCAATTATTTCTTTCAGAAATTCCATGTGACATCTAATTAAAATTAATATTTTTCAAATAGCAACTTATATATCAATATCAAATCCTTTTCATCAATCTAAAATATTCAAAGAAAATTAGTATTAACTAAATGTTCAACTTAAATGAAAATCTTAAATACACAGTCATATTTATGTAGTTTACAACAAATAGTTATATTTCCTCTAAGCCATTTAAGGAATTTCAGTAATTTAATATTAATTGTATCATGGATTTAAATTACTTATGTTTATGATTTTTACTTGAAATGAACTAACCTGGATCTAAGAGCACATATGCTGAATATAAGGCTAATTCTGTTTCCGTGAGCTTTAATTCAGCTATACTCTTTGCAAAAGTAAATGAGTTATTAATTAGTGACAGTTCTGTTGTGTCTGAAAAATAAAAATAAAATTATTAATTTGCAAATGAATAACTGTAAAGATTCTAGATAAATATTTACAAATAATTTTAAATACAAATAATAATCTTGTAATGAAGACAGCCAATTTTAAATTTATGACTAGTTCTAGAGATGGTTAATTTTATTAAAAATATTTTATAAAATAATGTTAACAAAACATTAAATCACTATAGAGAATTAGAAACAAAATGAAAATTATCCACATAACAAACACACTAAATTTTTTCTATAACAAAAGTTTTACTTTTTCTGATTCAATTTGTCATAAAAGTTTATTTCTCTCTATTTTAAATATATTATCCAAGACAAATACAGGTATAACTCGGGTTACATCATTTTGAGTTAAGTCATTCTCGATTATATGTCGTTTGTCAAAAAAAAATATATGGAAAAATAAATATCAAGTTTAACTCATTTTATTTAACTTCACGTCTGTCCGCCACAAATACTGAGGTCGTAATATCACTAGAAAACTGTTAAAAACACATAAAATCATATTAAAATATGTACATTTACAGTAAATGTTGGTAATATAATCATCATAAATCCTAGAGAACGAAACATAAAAACATCTGTGTTTCTGTGTTGTCGTCTTATTTAGCGATCTTTAAGTGCTCAATATTGGTGTTTTCCACAGTAGTTCCAATATCTACCATTTGGCATTGTTGTCAGCACCACCCGATATTGGTAAATTTAATATAAATTAGTTTATTTTCTACTGTCGCAAGATAATTTTAATAACTGTATTTGTTTTTGAACCTTACAAAATCATCTTATTTTATAATGTCTTAGAGCAAACCACATTCACAAATAAAGAGTCCGCGATGTACTGTAAACATCACCAAAATGTAAACATGTACATTTACAAGTATGTACTGTACGTACATGAATTCGTAAATTTAGATTACCTTTTTTCTGTACTATATTAAAAACTAAAATTTATTTGTTTGTAAGCTTAAAATAGATTCTTATTAACCATATATTATTAAAAATTCATTTATAAAAATACAGAACTGGGAATGGTTATTTGTGGTTTAGCCTAGCGACAAGTAAATTCGACTTAAGTCGCCTCTCTTGGAACAAATTACTGACATAAGGCGAGGTATACTTGTAATTGAAACTTTCTAGCTAATTCTTACAATAAAAGTAAATGAAAATATTACTAATGAGCTGTTATTTAGGATGAAAAAACTAAAATTATACAAAGATAAATACATAATTTATACTAAAATAGTTTTGATAAATTAAAAGTTAGCTTAGACAAAAAAAATTATCCTTTATCATTTAAATAATTTTTATTGTTAATGCAGGAGAATCATATCATGTAGCATGTAGTATAATAAAAATCATTGAAAAATCTTAAATCTAATTTTAAAATTTTCATTAAATGTTCAAAGGACTGAAGCATTTATATTGATTTGGAATTCAATATTTTCAAGAAAGAGCTAATAAAACAGTTTTCAAATTCATAACATTTAATTAAAATGAAAAGTTGAGAGCACTGGTTATCTATATGTTGCTGATATTTTCTGTGAGTGTATTGGCAAGTTTTGTGGTGGTTATTTTTTGTCTTTTTTTAAAGGAGAGATTTGGTTTTATAGAGTAATGTAATAAATAGTTTAACTAACTTTAAATTCAGAAAAATTACTGAATTTTTGAGTAACATAAAACCCATACTCCACCTTCCATAAATGCTCTTGGGAAATCAATTGAAAGTTCCTTTCCAATCAGAAAAAATTCTCCATCATTAAAGACGCAGCATGTTGATAGGGTTGCAATTTGAAAAAATTGTAGACCTATAAATTCCCACTGTCATCTGTCCTTCCTGAATCTTGAGAACAGTTAGTTAGATGAAAGTTGAGACCAGATATGGAAAACTTGGGGGCAGGAGGCCCTGATTAACTTTATACTACTTCTGGTTTGCACTGGAAGTCACATTATTTCAATTCAAAAATTTCCCCCTGAAAGGAGTTAGATAGATGATTCCTTTTAAATTCCTCAAATTAAAAATTTTCATTTGGAAGAATCTGAGTCAAAGAGTTTTTAGAAAGCTTGTTTGCTAAAGTGAAATTGGTATTCCAGAAGGCAAAAGCAAAATTGATATCCCATAAAGTTATAGTGTCTAAATTGGCAGAATATTACCATAAAATAACCACAAAGCTTCAAAATTTGAAGGAAAAAACAGTGGCTATTATCAAGATTAGATAAATTGGAAAAGATTTTACAACCCATGTGTTGTATAAGATAGAACTATTGATTTTCACACAGAGCATTAAATAGTTTTAATTCTAATAAAATAAGGTTTAATCACAGAATACCAGCAGATATTAAGATTTGTATGTATGAACTTTATTTGAGTTTATAAAAAATTTATGAATAATAAGAATGATGATTTCTGAATTGAATAAACCAATCCTATGGAGTTTTAATTTAACAATAACTAGGAATTACATTATTATTAAAATTTAAATATTAAAGTAATAATTTATATTAATTTAATTTTTCTCTCTTAACTTACCTGCTGGAACAAATGTGTCTGATGGTAACATATGCTCTCCATATAATACAGAATTGGTAGATAAATCATAGTACCGACTCATCCTTAATGCACATAATTCAAAACTTCCTAGAAATAATTATATTCAAATATTATTTATTAATCATTATTTAATTTGATGATGAAATCTTGCATTATCAATGAATTCATATAAGCTTATTATTAAAGAGTACAGTAGAGCCTCGATTATCCGACCCCCGATTAACCGACACCTCGGTTAACCGACCGTCCTAGTCGGCAAATTTCAAATGTCCGCTAGTGATGTGGCGTTACAATATTTGGCCATGTCTTGGCTACTTTAATATTATTTTTACGTGTTTTAGCTGGCAACACTCATTCGACCATAAAAGGGAGCCAGTATTTAAACAAGGCTTAATTTTCTAATTTTTAACGATACGATAGTGACGATTATTATTTTAAAAAAGTTTTGTTAGGCTTAACATCGATGAAGATTCAACGCGAAATAGGTTAATAGCGATATACTAATTACATGGGATATAATAATATACTACACTAATAACGGATTTTTTCATACTTTTCGGTTATCCGACTTTTCAATTATCCGACCAACCCCAGTCCCCAATTGAGTCGGATAATCGAGGCTCTACTGTAGTTTATTACAGTTTCTTCACACGATTAACCCCGAAACAACTTATAAAAAAAAAATCAACAAATTTTTGTAGAAGTACAGTAGAGCGTCGATTTTCCAAAAGTCAATCATCCGAAAGAATTCCAGTCCGCAAATTTAAATTTTTGCCAGTGCTGTAGCGCTTCAATCTTTGGCTATGTCTTGGGCTACTCAAATATTTTATGTTTTTGATACTAAATTAACATTTGAAGTATAATTTTTTATTATTTTTATATTTTTCAATATATTTATTTTGTTTGTACAAAAAAATAATTTTTAACGATACGATAGTCTTTGTTAGGCTTAACATTGACGAAAATTCAACGCGAAGCGACACGCAACGGAGAAAAATTTAGACATCGGATACGTTAAACTATTTTTTCGTACGTAAATCAGTTATCCGGACAAACCCAGTCCCCAATTGATTCGGAAAATCGACGCTCTACTGTAATGAGATTATATAGTATGTAAATATAAAATAACAGATAACTCTTGATCTTACATTAGTTTGTTAGCTAGAACAATAAACTTATAATCAACAATTGTTTTAGATAAATATATTTTAAAATATACTTTTTGGAGAAGTGCTTTAATTAAATGCTAGCTATACAAACCATCAATCAAAATACAGATTTTACTGCTAAGAAAATTATATGATTGCTTTATAATGTTGGTAAAAAAAAATATCTGTATGGTTACATCAGGGATGTAGCTACATGGGACACCAATTCCCACACCCATGATTTGCTGCCCATTATGTGTTCCAATCATTGTAGACATTGCTGTACCAGAAAATACTGCTGAATGCTTCCTTTGTTTATGCACATTCTTTAATCAGTCTAATGATGATACAGTGCAATCTGTGATACTGTGTTGAAATTGATTGAAAAATCTACAAAAATGTTAACAAACATGTTATTACATAAAATCAGCATTCACTATGATTCGTATTCATATAATTCGCAAATAATCTGGAATTCGACAATTATAGATTATTGGATACTTTTCAGAAGGTGTTGGAATAAAATTTATAATAAAAACAAGGAATACATTGAGCACATTCTTAATAAAATCTCTGATATAAACCAGATTTACAATAATCCAGCACCATTCAAGTCTTGTGGGTGCTGGATTAACAAACATTTTCTGTATTGTCATTTTTATAATAATAGTATATATATTTATATTATATTCTCTCTTCTGTTTAATAAACACTTAATTAAAAATCAAATTGCTTTGAAATTATACATAATTGATACTTATTACTATTAATAGTTGAGATGGAAAATCTATATTCCATCATCAACTATAAGACATTTAGGCAAATTCTTAGAAATCAAACTTATATAATTATTTAAACTTTAATACTGATTATAAATCTAAAATAAAATTTCTACTACAGAACTCAAACATAATTTATAAATTGCAAATATAGATAACAAGTATTTTAAAAATGATTATTTAAACAATAATCTGAAGTAATTCAATAATAACAACATTGAGTGCAATACATACTAAAATTATCTCACTATTTATAACAGTAAAACCTCTAAAATTGAATCCCTCCTTAAGAGAAACGGGATTGTAGGTTTGCAAACAATATATTTTTTTACACCTTAATCCAAACAAAATTTCACTATTTCAACATTATTACTCCTCAAATTGAATTCAGCAGATATCAACCAAACTAAGTTCTGCAAATGCTTATGGTGCTTATGTATGAACTTTATTTGAGTTTATAAAAAATTTAAAATTTGTAAATTGCCTTGTAAATTTAATGCAGCGGTTAAACAAGCAAATGACATAATCCATTTCATTTGAAACAGACTGTCATTGTGCCTTTTATTCATGAGCAGGTTGCCAATTTAGTGGAATATTGAAATTTAGCTGAAACTCTGGTAGGAAACAATTTTTGATACATGTTAATGGGTAGTAAAGCATTTAGTGGAAATTTTACAGGTTAAAAAAATTAAAAGCCTCAGTAATTCCATAAGTAGTTCTATCACAAAAATAACAACAAAAAAATGAGACCATAGACAAAAATTGGGCAGCATAAAATCTGGAAAAATTGCCCACAGTATTTGTATTGCACTTACATTATTCTCCTGGAGCCATATTCTGGTCGCTTATCTCTCGTCTCTTCTTTCAGAGATAAATAACATCAAAACAAGAGATGAAATTCGTCTCTCAGAAACAGCAGCAATTTTGGTCACTTTTAAAGATTTGTCTTTGTTGTTGATGTCACAATTCTGCTAGTTGCTTATACATGTTTGGGTTATCTACACATGCAACATGCTATAGAATTATAGCCAATGAGATTGTAAAATTTTCGAAAATGCAGAGTATGTAATTAAGATCATATGGTAAGGAAAGCACATTTTGAAGAAAGATATGTTTTTTGTTTTATAACGTTATTATATATTTTGATGTCAAATTGTCTCTTCAGAAATAAAAATTTTAATAACTTAAGTTAGAAAAGCATGTGTACTTAGTTAAGAAGAAATTAGATGGTAATATTTTGAAAAATACTTAGAGAGATAAGATTAACATCATATTCAATAGTTCAGTAATTGATGTAGAATAATTAAAAAAAAAATGGAATCAGTGACATTCCCGAGTAGTCACTGGAAAAAAATCAGAAGCATTTTTTTTCTCTCTCAAAATATTCTTTTCCAAGATAGAGAATGTTCTCTAATACAAATGTATAGCATGAATACAGTCATCCATATTGGATATAATCGAGGCAAAAGACAAAAGACAACTATCTGCTTGTCTCTGAGAAATGAGAAAATATTCAAGAAAAAAAGTCATCCAGAATTATGTTTGGAGAGACATGATGATCTCTTGAGATGTAAACAAATGATTAGTCAATCGGCAACCGGCTTGTGACATAACATAGACAATGTGTCTCAGAGATGAGAGACGATGACCAGAATATGGCCCTGGTTTTCAGTTTTTCACTAATAACAGATACTCACAACAACTGAATATGAAAGCATAAGACAATAGATATGGAGAAATGATTTTGTTGGAAAAAATTATTCATTTAAAAACAGTTTATGATACAGTTTATTAATGTCTTCCTCTTTCAAACAACAAAGCAAAAATCTCAGAATTATAGCAAAAGAGAATGCATAAGCAAAAGTATTGTAAAAATGGGAAAATTTCTTGAACTAAAAGGTACTCCAAAAAAAATGCATTGACTGTTTTCTAAAACAGTCAATGCATTTTTTTGGAGTACCTTTTAGTTTAAGAAGTTACAAAAACTGGTTTTGAACAAGTTGAAGCTTGTTAGTAAAATATAGTGTTGAAAAGAAGTAGTACAAGTTTTCTCAAATTATCTGTAAATATAGGTAACCCCTGTATAACACGGCACTTCTATAGCACAGATTCACTCTAACACGGTTCAAGAATTGGGAACATCCCCCATATAACATGGTGGTTTTATAGCACAGGTTCACTCTAACACGGTTTGGGAATTGGGTAAAACCCTTGTACAACATAAAATGTAATAAAGAGTGGGTTCTTTTATATCTCCGCGTAAGCATTCTAATTGTTTTCGTGGCTACTTTGAATGCTCTTTTAACAAATAATCCATTTAATGGTTAAAATTTACAATTGGGACTCTTCTTTTGCCTCTAAAAGCTCATTTTAGAGTTATAGATTCCTCCATCACGATACTATCGGTAGTGCGGGCGCCGCCATCTTTCTTTCACCGTCTTTCCTAAATGACTACAAACAGCAGCACTCCCTTTGCAGAGCAACCGCTATTAACGAACACATCCACAAACTGTTACCAGTTGATGATGCTCATGCTAAGATTACCATACAGGATGAATAATCCTCTGGTAAAATATTTACTTAAATAATAAATAAGTATTTTTTTTACCTATGAAAAAAATTAATAATAAATCCTATTTAAATAAGGATTTAACAACATGTTTTTTAATTTTTTGGAACCTAACCTCCCTTTTCGCACTAGTTCTTTGTTTCATATAACACGGATTCGCATAACACGGCAATTTTTTGGAACATAACTCCCGTGTTATACGGGGGTTACCTGTATTAAAATCTATGGATCATTACACAGCATAAATCTATGTTGTGTGTTAACCTTCAGTTCTTATATTATCCACTGAAAATGATGTACCATAAAAATGCTATTTGTCAGTGAATGATAATACTAAATCACATGTCACGAATACTTTTTGCATAAAATTTAGTTGAAATAACTGGTTGAATAAGTTAATAAAATTAATTTTACTTATAGTAGTATTGAAATGAAGATTAAGTAAACCATTTAAAATGAAAATATAAATGCTGTAGAGACAATTTTTAATTAATAAATTTACCTGCTTTGAGTAAAACTATTTGATCATCCTGAATAAGCTTCATAAAACCAGGTACCATTTTAGCAAACTCAATAATTTGTTGAATTATC